TCCTCCTTCTCCCACCTTCCTCCTCCCTCCTCCTCTCCTGCCCTCTTTCCTCCTTCCCCCCCGCCCTTCGTCCCCGCCTCTCCGGAGCAGCGGACACGCCGACCGACTTGCAGAGCGAGGGGCGGCGCCGCACCAGCACGGAGGGTGTACGCGGGGCGCCCGTGGTGCTCGTCTCCGCCTCGTGCGGGGGCGTCTTCGCGTGCGCTGCGCGAGTGGGGGGGAGGGGGGTCGGGGGCTCTGGGCGTGGCGCGTCCTTGGGCGACTTGCCTTGCGCCCGGGGCTGCCCAGTGGCGTTTGCGCGCCTGGCGGCGCAACGGATCGCGCAGCTCCCCAAGGTGCCGGTACTAGGCGCTGCTGGTCTGGGCGCCCGCGGTTGCGCGCTGCGCCCGAATTTGCGAGTCCAAAAAAAAGCGCTGCGCGAGCGGGGGCCGCGAGCGACAGCCTTGTAGATGCCGACGCCTCGGTGGCGGAGGGAGCGGTCGATGCACCCCCTCCCCTGCGAGTCCCCTGCAGGAGGGGGAGGTGCCACGGCGCCCGGCCCCTAAGAGACTACAGTCGACCCGCACGGTAAGGATGGGCAGCCTTCCCAAGGGCTACCTTTGCATGCTGGCCTCCTCGGTCCATGCTTGGACCACTCTCGTTGGCCGCGTCCGGTTCGGGACGCTTCGACATGAGCGTCCAAGGCCGTTTGCATCCTTCTTGCGCATCCTCATGATACGGATCGGCTGTAAATTGCGCGCGACCGAAAGCAAGTCGATGACCGACACCGTGCCCAAGCATTTTTTTTCTCCGAAAATGCGGCAGGACCGAAAGTGTGACCGACATTGAACATAGCATTGGTTTCGAGACGCACACTTCGGTCACATTCTGGCGCGTTCGGGCAGCTTCAGGTGCCAGTTTCGGTCACCCTCGCGCAAATTTTCGGGCACAGCTTCGGTCATTATACACCCTGATGGAGACGAGGCCACTGGACCACGAAGCGCCCAGGGAGACCAGAGACATTGCCACAGCAGCCGAACAGGATCACACGGACGGGTAGTTTTCCAGGGGTGCCCTCGCGCTCTTGCCTCGAGGCCCGCCTTGACCTCTGACCATGGGCCATGGGCTTCCAGCTTGGCCTTCAGTCTCGGGCGTCCAAGGATGGCTATGATCCGGTCGCGCCGTAGTACTATTGCAACGGGCGGCGCTCCTCGGCATGATGGTCCCCGCAACCACGGCCATCAGTTAGGAAAGAGCGTGTTCTACCGCTGCTGGCGGAAAACAGGGAGGGGTCACTACCGGTTCGAACCCCCCCCCCTCCCTGGAAAACCGAGGTGGGGGTCACTACCAGTTCGAACCTCCCCCTCCCCCTCGAAAACCGGCGGGGGTCACTACCGGTTCGACCCCCCTCCCCTCCTCTCGAAAACTGGGGGGGTCACTACCGGTTCGAACCCCCCCCCCCTTCCCCCCCCCTTCGCCGCCGGCAAACGATGCCCGCTCCTCGGGACAGTTGGAGAATGGTGGGGATGTTGGGACAGTGGTGGTAACGGTGGTGGTGGGGACAGTGATGCGGGGACAGTGGGACAGCGGTGCGGACAGTGGTGGGGACGGTGGTGATGGGGACAGTGGTGAGGGGGACAGCGGGACAGTGGTGGGGACAGTGGGACAGTGGTGGGGACGGTAGTGGTTGGGACAGTGGTGAAGGCGGTGGTGAGGACAGTGGTGGGACAGTAGCACAGTGGGGAAAGTCGTGGGGACAGTGAGGACAGTGGGACAGTGATGGGGACAGTGGGGACGGTGGGACAGCACAGTGGGGACAGCGGCGGGCAGGGACAATGGGACAGTGGTGGGAACAGTGGGGACAGTGGGACAGTGGTGGGGACCGTGGGGAAAGTGGGGAGAGTGGTGGGACAGTGGAGGGTACAGTGGTGGTGGCGACAGTGGTGAGGGCGGTGGCGAGGACGGCGGTGGGATAATGGGACAGAGGTACAGTAGGGACAGTGGTGGGGACAGTGGGGACAGTGGTGGGAACAGAGGGACAGCTCAGTGGGACAGCGGCGGGGACAGTGGTACAGTGGGGACAGTGGGACAGTGGGAACCGTGGTGGGAACAGTGGTGGGTACAGTGGGGACAGTGCGACAGTGAGTGGGGGCACTGGTGAGGACAGTGGTGTCGGTGGTGGGAACAGTGGGGACAGCGGTGGTGAGGACAGTGGTGCTGGGGACAGCAGTGGGGGTTCTGGTGCGGACGGTGGTAGGGACGGGGAGTCGTTTGCTGGCGGTGAGCGAGGGGGGGTCGAGCCGGTAGTGACCGCCCACGGTTTTCGAGGGGGGGGGGGGTTCGACACCGGTAGTGACCCCCCCTGGTTTTTCCAGGGAGGGGGGGGGGTTCGAAACGGTAGTGACACCCCCGTTTTCCGGAGGGGGGGGGGTCGAACCGGTAGTGACCTCTCTCTGGTT